AAAGAATTTCTTTATTTTACTGAAAATTAACCGTATTTTTGAAATTCTTCTTTCAATTCATTTTAATCAGGCTATTCATTCAAGGTATAATATATAATGAAGTAGTTTGCTAAAACAATTTTGATCTTGCCATTAAACATTTATGAATAAAATAAATATATTAAAATACCGAAGAAGAACATTAGACATTTATAACAGTCTTCTAAGATGTCCATTATGCTGGAAGGATATGTTTGATCATACATTTTATTTTGATAAGTTCTCTTCTTTCATTGATAAAATCTTCTTGCAGTCATTAAATTTCATGAAAAGTATATTTTGATTTTGTAATTAAAAGTAAAGAAAATGCAACTCCAAGTACTACGATAACGAAACTTTGTAAAAGTATTTTTGAAAGCATACTAAAACCTGTTTGATTCCATAATACAATTTCCAAAACTACCACCAATAAACAAAGAATGACAAACAACATCCACATTAAAGGAGGTATCTGTTAGACAGATAAAAATTTAATGAATTTATATTATTATCAAATAAATATCTCAATAAAATAATGAATTTCTTACTTTTTTCTCTTTTTTTAAACCGATCTTTTTGGGTAATTTCTCTTCTTCGAATCTTCCATTAGAATGTACGATATCGTCTTTTAATTTGGATTCAATAGATGTTTCAGGTTCTTGATAGTAGCTGAAATCCTGAATATTCGTGATAATGTATCCATCACTTGTAGAAGGCCTTTCATATTCTTGCTTCAGGTTATTGACATTATCATAACTTCTTCGAAACGGCAATTTTGAATGTGAAAAATTCGAATCCGTGACATTCTTTTCAACATGTTTATTCATAGCTGTTCTTATATAGAATTTTTTTGTAGATTTGGAAGCATCATTAGCTTAGACATTAGCGAGGTTGCGGCCGAAGTTTTCATCTCTAAAACGTAAACATCGAACGTCGAGCGCCGCTATCTTTTAAGCGGCGCTCGACGTTCGATGTTTACGTTTTAGAGATGAAAACTTCGGCCGCAACCTCGCTAATGTCTAAGCTAATGATGCTTCCAAATCTACAAAAAAATTCTATATAAGAACAGCTATGAATAAACATGTTGAAAAGAATGTCACGGATTCGAATTTTTCACATTCAAAATTGCCGTTTCGAAGAAGTTATGATAATGTCAATAACCTGAAGCAAGAATATGAAAGGCCTTCTACAAGTGATGGATACATTATCACGAATATTCAGGATTTCAGCTACTATCAAGAACCTGAAACATCTATTGAATCCAAATTAAAAGACGATATCGTACATTCTAATGGAAGATTCGAAGAAGAGAAATTACCCAAAAAGATCGGTTTAAAAAAAGAGAAAAAAGTAAGAAATTCATTATTTTATTGAGATATTTATTTGATAATAATATAAATTCATTAAATTTTTATCTGTCTAACAGATACCTCCTTTAATGTGGATGTTGTTTGTCATTCTTTGTTTATTGGTGGTAGTTTTGGAAATTGTATTATGGAATCAAACAGGTTTTAGTATGCTTTCAAAAATACTTTTACAAAGTTTCGTTATCGTAGTACTTGGAGTTGCATTTTCTTTACTTTTAATTACAAAATCAAAATATACTTTTCATGAAATTTAATGACTGCAAGAAGATTTTATCAATGAAAGAAGAGAACTTATCAAAATAAAATGTATGATCAAACATATCCTTCCAGCATAATGGACATCTTAGAAGACTGTTATAAATGTCTAATGTTCTTCTTCGGTATTTTAATATATTTATTTTATTCATAAATGTTTAATGGCAAGATCAAAATTGTTTTAGCAAACTACTTCATTATATATTATACCTTGAATGAATAGCCTGATTAAAATGAATTGAAAGAAGAATTTCAAAAATACGGTTAATTTTCAGTAAAATAAAGAAATTCTTT